TGTTGCGCATATGGAACGGGGTCTCTTCAAGCCTGGGTGCCTGCAAGAGGGGGCTGGGCACCATCTCTCTGCTCTTGGCCGTTCTGTTTGTGCACTGGCATCCCTATAGCTCCTTACAAACTCCTCTCCTCTCCACCTGCCCATGTCTCTCGCACCTGCCTCTTCTCCCCACCTCATGGAGTCCAGCCCCATCCTTTCCCACCAGGACCCTGCCCTGGCTTCCTCCCTGGCCTCCTCACCTCCACTTTTCCTCCCTCCAGTCCATCTCCCATTCTTAAGCAGAGGGATATTTCTGAAACTCAGATCTGACCCTGTCCCTTCTCTGCTTAACCTCAGCTCCCCTGCTGCCCTCCAAGTGAGCTCCCAGCTCTCAACCTGCCACTTAGGGCTTTTCACCATTAGCTTCTCTGAAGCTGTATCATTTGTGTCCCACTGCAGTGACAGCCTCAGTACCTAGATCCTGTCACCCAGCCCCAACCCTCAGGGTCTTCTTGGATACCCTCCACCCTGCAATAGGTTTCCAGGTGCCATGGGGGATTCGATTCACAAAGCGCTCTCCCGCCTCATCCTGCCCTCCTGCTGGTTACCTCACCCTGCTCCAGCTTGGTCCTCTCCTCTGGCCTCCTCTCGCCTCCTCCCGGGCCGCCACTCTCCTTCCCTCTAATCTGCCAAACAACAGGAGGAATGTGTCTCAATCCCAAATCAAACCCTTTCCCTCCTTGGCCTCAAACCTTCCAAGATAAACTCCCAAACTGCTTACCTCATGCCCCCTGGTGTCCACCTGGCTCTTATCCCTGGCTCACGGGCCTCAGGGCCTCCTCCTGATATACATGTACAGACTGTGAAATGATTACCACAATTAACTTAGTTAACACATCCATCACCTTGGTTACCATTTTTGGTGCGTATGGTGAGAACATTTAAGATCTACTCTTAGTAAATTTCAAGTATACATCACAGGATTAACTTATAGCTGTCATGCTGTACAGTAGAGCCAGAACTTCATCTTATAACTAAAAAATGTGTACCCTTTAACCAGCGTCTCCTGATTTCTCCCACCCCCAGCCCTGGGCAACCACTATTCTTTTGTTTTTTAATTTAACTTATTAATTATTAATTTTTATTGAGCTATAACTGACGTAGAACATTATATTAGGTTCAGGTATACATAGCAATTCAGCGTTTTATACATTGTGAAATGATCACAATAACTCTATTAACATCAATCACTACACAGTTACAAATGTTTTTCTCTCGTTTTAAGAGAACTTTTAAGATCTACTCTCTTAGCAAATTTCCAGTGTTCTATAATATAGTGTTATTAACTATAGTCACCATGCTGTACATTACATCCCTCTGTTTCTATGAATTTGGCTTTTTTAGATTCCACATATAAGTGAGATCATGCAGTATTTATCTTTCTGTGTCTGACTTAGTTCACTTAGCATAATGCCTTCAAGGTCCATCCACGTTTGTCACCAAAGGCAGGATTTCCTTCTTTTTTATGACTGAATAATATTCTGTTACATAGCTATGTCATTTTCTTTATCCAATCATCTGCTGACAGACTCTTAGATGGTTTCTGTATCTTGGCTATTGTGAATAATGCTGCCATGGACATGGGAGTGCAGAGATCTCTTTGAGATACTGATGTGTTTCCTTTGGATGTATACCAAGAAATGAGATTGCTGGGTCATTTGACAATTCTAATTTTTCGAGGAAACTCCGTACTGTTTTCTATAGTGGCTGCACCAATTTATTTTGCTACCAGCAGTGCACAAGGGTGCCCCACTGCGGGGCTTTGAGCAGGGGAGAGACCTGATTTGATTTGGTTTTAAAGGATCCCTTTGCTAAGGCCAGTAAGTGAAAGGTTGATGGGAAACTTTCTAAGAGGGATCAGGACCTGGACACGCTATATGGGACCATTTATTATTGAGATATGATGTGAGCAGTTCTTGCCAGAATGAGCCCGAATCTGGTCTAACTCCCATTTTACAGGGAATTCCAGACAATGGAAAGACATCTTGAGTGGCACCCCAAAGAGGCCATCAGCCAAAGACAGGATGTGAAAAACTGCATAGGGCAAATAACCCAGTTTCTTTAAGAAATAAGTGGCATACAAAAGGTTGGGGACTGGTTACAGATTTAGAAGACCTATGTGTTCAAACGAAGGCACTGCATGGTGAACCTTTGGGTTCTAATTTGAACAAACTTGACTATGAAATACATTTCTGGGACAGCCAGGGAAACTGGCTGTGAACACTAACACTGCAAAACTGGGAATTGTAATAGGTGTGGAAATAAATATTATGGTTGTGACTTTTAAAAAGTGAATTGTAAAGGGGGAGTTATTGTTTAAATAAGTTGAGTATTTGCTGGGGGGTAATGAAAGTTTGGGGTATAGACAGTTTGATAGTTATACGCTGTGAATGTATGTAATGCCACTGAGTTGTACACTTACAAGTGGTGAGAATGAGAAATATTATGCTATGTATATTTTAAACCCTCCCCCAGAATAACCCTGAAGACCCTACTAACTGTAAATACTTTTACTTTGGTGTCCAATAATTACTGGTTAAGCCATTTTGAGTTTATGCTTTCTTTTGCTTGCTACTCGAATCATCTTAACTCATGTCAACTTTCCTTTTGATACAGTTCTATTTCCATCCTTCCTTAATAAATGAGGTTGCTGCTATTTCTTTTTTAAAAATTCTTTTACTAAAAAATTCTTTTTTTTTACTTTATTTTCTTGGGGGGGTTGCGTAATTAGGTATTTATTTATTTATTTGGAGGTGCTGGGGATTGAACCCAGGACCTCCTGCATGCTAAGCACGTGCTCTACCACTGAGTTAAATCCTCCCCTGCTTTCCCCACCTGTTTGCTGGTATTTCTGATCCCAAATTTCCCTGGGTGTGAATTTTGAGCACAAAGGAAAGCAAGTCATTGCCTTAATTCAAAAGGAGGAAACCTGAAACCTCATTTATTCCTTTTCACATCACAGACATATGAAAAGCAGTAACAATAATAAATTCAAGAACTTAACGTGTATTTCGTTCCTATTAAGTTCCAGAATTGTTCACATCTCTTCTTTTAAATTTGGTCTTTTAGATGCTCAACCCTCAGTGAAGGAGTCATTAGCTAGAAAGTGGCAAAGTCAGGGTCTGATCCCAAGCTCGTCTGTTTTCTATTATATCACTGTTCTGTGCTACCTCTATAGAACTTAAGCCAAAAAATAAAGTGATAACATCGTGGAAAATTAAAAAAAAAAAAGCTAACGAAGCATTGCTAAAACATTCAGAGACAGATGTCTGTAATTTATTTTGAAATGCCTAAAAAAATGAGCTGGATGGGCAGGTGGCTAGAAATGTGCTAATACACTTGGCAAACTGCCGTGAGAGAATCCAGAGGTGGCCCATGGGCCTTCCCGTAGAATCCCCTCAACTTTGAAAATTGTCCTCATAAAATGTCAGGGGGAAAATGTCCTTTTACTATTAGAAATGTGTATTCAATTATTTTCTGAGATTTGCTTTAAAATAATCGGAAGATTGTGATTGACAAAATAAAATTAGCAGAAATTGGATGGTTATCCAATGAGGCTGGGTCAAGGGCCCAGAGATTCATCGCACTATTCGACTATCGTGGGTCTGAACACTTCCTTCGTAGATAACTGACTGACAAGTAAAAAGATGCTTCTGGCTTCCTTACGAAGAGAAAGGAGGGAAAGGGTGGCAGAAGAGGCCAGAGTTGAGGGTAGAGTGAGGGTTCCTGTTTCAGCATCTACTTTTAGTTTGGGAGAGCGCCCAGGGCATGGAGGGGTCACCTTCAGGCTTTCCCTAACTGAGGCCCTCCACCCCTCCAACCCCAGCCCCAGGCCTGCCCACCCCATCCACATCAGCCTCACCGGAAGTGAGGCCCAGGACCGCTCCCCTCCCCCCCATCTCCACATCTGCTACTGATGTCAGCAGCCAGGGTGGGCGGGGGCCGTGTTTTTCAGCTCCCGCCTAGCCTCAAGGGAGGGGTGGACCCTCCTCATCCCCACCCCTTACTCACAATGATGGACACTGTCACACTCACGCTAGGCCCTGCCCTGGGCCAGACCAGGGTCTAGAAAGGAACTTTTATTGCAAAACGGGGATCTTTGGAGTCACAAAGACGTCAGATCTGGCCTCTTCCCTGACCCAGGGAGTTGGAGTCTGGTCCCTTCCGCGAGGTCTAACTGGGACTTTGACACAGAGTAGGGGCAGTGCGTCAGTGTGTGTTGAGGGGGACTGGGGAGCAGGGGAGGTTTTTCAAGTTATATAAGCTGGAGTGTGTTTGTGTGTGTGTGTGTTCCTCTGTTCTGAGGGTCCATGTGTGTCCAAGTTTGCTTAGTCTGCAGGCTTGCATGCACAACTGCACATTGGGGGTGTGTTTGTATTTGGGAGCATCTGGGGATCAGGGTGCTTGGAAAGGGGTGTCCCTGAGGGCTGAAGGTGCACAGGAGACCATGGCTGTGTCCCTGTGGGAGTAGCTTGTCTCAGTGGGCAGGTCAGTTCACACTTGGGTTGGCTGTGTGGTTCACTGGTTGGGGGCGTGTGGCTGGAGACAGCCTTGTACAAGGACACTGGTACCATGACCTGAGGGCTGCAGATAAAGAGGGTCTCTGTGAGGTGACATGAGCCAGCATGGGACATGTTCTCTGCACCAGGCTCCCAGAGATGGCAACACTGGGAAGACTGAGGAGTGAAGAGGGCACATGGGCCGAGAACACTGGCGGCTGAACTTGAATGTGCAGGTTGTGAGTCCGGGGAGTTCGTGTGGTATTTGAGTTGGTGGGTTATCCGGGCATGTGGCTGTGATTCCTGATGGACTAAATGTATGTCTGTAGAAAGCTGTGTGGCCACATTGCCTCACGGCCCGAGTGGTTGGCATCTGGGTGTGCGGTTCCAAGTCTCAACAGCTGTGTGGGCTGAGGACCCCGTGGATGCGGAAGCTGAATATACGTGTGACGGACTCTAGAAAACAGCTCCAGGTGCGTGAATGTGGCTGCCTGTGGTGCAGACGTGCGGCTCTGGAGTCCCAGCCATGTCCATGCCCACTGTCGAGGCTGCCTGCCCACTCCCAAGGTGCCCTCCTTCATCCAGTCCACACGGCGGGTCAGATGGAGGTCAGTGGGGCCGAAATTGCAGCTGGAAGGCTTGGGGGATGTTGAAAAGGCCGCTGACGGCTGGCTGGAGGCTCAGGGCACCCGGCGGGCAGGGGCTCTCCAGCGAGAAGGCCTGCAGGACGGCGGTGAACAGGAGGAAGATCTCGGCCCGAGCCAGGCTCTCCCCGAGGCAGACGCGCTTACCTGCGAGGAAGAGAGAGCTGGAGCCGGGCCTAGGGGAGGACCGGCGGGAGGGCAGGGGCGGCCCCGCAGATACCTAAGGAGAAGGGCAGAAACGACTCCTGCTTCTTGAACTTCCCGTCTGCGTCCAGGAATCGGCCGGGGTTGAACTCCTCCGGCTGCTGGAAGACCTCGGGGTCATGCAGGATGGAGCCAAGGAGAGGGAAGACCTCTGTGCCCTGGGGGGAAATCATAATAAAACTATAAATATCCCTCACAACCCAGGCCTTCCGCTCAGAGTCAGAGCACAGGAGTCTGGTGTGTTGGGCAAATCAGTTCACAAAATACAGGGGTTGGGAGGAGGGTATAGCTCAGTGGTAGAGCGCATGCTTAGCATGCATGAGGTCCTGGGTTCAATCCCCAGTAACTCTTTTAAGAATAAACAAACAAACTAACCAACAAACCTAATTACCAGCCCCCCAAAAGAATTAAGAAAAAAAGAAAACACAGTGGCATCTGAGTAATCATGGGTCAGGGAATTTATTAAGCCTTATATCTAACTCACCTCGTTTGTAATAGGTACATGTGTTCTACTTACATACACACACAAACACACACACACAAACTCACTAAATCTTTCTAACAAGCCTAGGAAACAGTTACTAATATGGTCCCCATTTTATTTATTTATTTAAAGATTTCTTTCTTTTCTTTTTTTCTGATCCCCATTTTTAAGGATGGGAAAAGAGGCCCAGAGAACTTCAGCAACTTGCCCTAAGGCAACACTTGGACACGGCAGTTTGTTATTTTTACACAGTGTTTTAAACTTTGGGGGTACGCTGGGATTCAGCTGTGGTTGTCCTAAGCAACTTGGCTCAGAGTCCAGCTTTCTGCCACTATGGCATTCCAGAGGCGAGGTGTGGGTGGGTGACGGCTGTCCACGAAGGCTTCCCCTGCCCAGGTTCAGGGACAGTGGCAGCCCCTTCAGCTGAGATCAGAGTTACAGTATTCCCAGGACTGTGGTGGACGGTCAAGGTGGGGAGTATGAGGAGATGAGGAGGGATGTCCTTTGCTAGGGACTCTGGTTAATGGGGCTCTGAGTTGGGAAGGTGAGTGAGGCTTCAGGAAAAGGTCGTGTTATTGCCATTAAAATAAGAGAAAGGCAGAGAGCAGTGGTTAAAGCACAGGCTCTGGTTCAAATCCTGCCCCTGCCACTTGTAGGCTGGCTGGGGTTGGCAAGTCTTCTAATATTTTAGGGCCTCAGTTTCCTCATCTGTATAATGGGTGTGATAATGGTAGAGGGTGGCTCTGAAGATTGAATAAGGTAATACAATAGCATTTAGACTAATACCTGGCACAGAGAAGGTCCTCAACCACTAATGCCTGTTATTACTGTTCTCATTAGCAGTAGTTGTTGCACTTGCAATAGTCATTGCTTTAGCAATGGTTGCTTCGGGGGTCTACAGAGGAGCCCCACTCCCTGTACAAAGAGCTCAGCTGGTGTTTTACAAGCATTTTTTCACAGATTCCTTATAATCTCCAGTTGATGCTATTACTGCTCCCAGTTTAGAATAGGAGTAGATGGAGGTTCAGAGGGTGAAGTGATTTGCCCAAGGTCTCAGCCTGAAAACAGCAGGGCTGGATTCTAACTGCTATGGGTTGGATTCTACAACCAAGCTCAAGGAGGGAGCAGCTGGCGGGGAAGGCGCCTCAGGTTTCCAGGGAGACATCGTCCCCTGGTGGTGATGGCTCTGAATTGCTCTCGAATCAAGGGCGGAACTGAGGGCTCGTGAATTGCGTCTCGAAGTCAAGGGACAGGAACTGAGTGAGAGAGGGTGGGGCTGATTCTGTGTGTTTACAGCAGGGACTGAGGGTGAGGGCCTCTGTTAGCCCTCAGATTGTTCCCTGCGTGTCACCTTATTTGATTGTCCTAACCACTTTGGCAGGAGGAAGAATTAGGATACCCATCTGAAACATGGGGAAACCAAGGCTGGGAGACAGAGTCAAAAAGGCAAGAGAAAGCAACAGAGAGAGAGAGATGCAGAGACAGACGGGGACATAGAGAAAGAAAGGGAGATGAGAAGAAAAGAGGGAGATATCAGCCAGGGAAGAGAGAGAAAGAGGAGGAAGATGTAGAAACAGCAAGAGAAAGAGTGGCAGACCAAGATCTGGAAAAAGTCAGAGACACAGATAGCAGAAGACTCAGGCCCGAGGCAGAGACAGCTGCTGGGCGGGGCTGGCCCGCATACCCACCTGGGGCAGGGTGTACCCCCGGAAGCGGGTGGTCTTGGTGAGGGCTCGGGGCATGCTCATGGGTACCAGCGCCAGCAGCCTCTGTGCCTCATGCAGAACCGCATCCGTGTAGGGGAGTCGGGCTCGGTCTGCCAGACAGGGCGCCCTGCCGGCCCCCAGCTCCCTAGTCAGCTCCTCCTGCACCCGCTCTGCACTCAAGAGGAGGGGGGTGGGAGGTCAGGGGTGGGGCGGGGCCCTGTGATCCTCTGCTCGGATGGTCTTCTGGAGCAGCCAGTGTGCTGGGCATCCCATCTGTCCTCTCATTCCCCACAGCAGTCCTGCGAGGTGGGTACCACTGTGTAGCCCCATCTCCCAAATGAGGACCCTGGAGCCCAGTGAGCTGAAATCACAGCTGACTCCATTCCACCAAGGCCACCAGGCCCCAGGTCCCATCTTCCAGGTCAGCCCACCCCACCATCTTGACAGCACTTAAGGCATCTGCCTGACCCTGAACCGCTGGAGTCCCCTGGGGCACATTCCCAGCCCTGCCTCACCCCACATCCTCCGTCACCATCACAGCTTCAGGTCTTGCCTGGCCCCTGATAACTCCACTTTGTTTTTTATCTCCAGCCCTGACCCAGGTGTCTTGTGACCTCCCCCTGGTGGCCCCAGGCCCCTCACATTCAGATTGTTCCAAAGCGGCCTCAGCATCTCCCCTGAAACAGCTCCTCATCCCTTCTGGCCTCACCTCAGGGTGGCTTCCCAGTCCTCCAGTCCTCTGGTCAGAGCCCTTAGCCTGTACCTGGATGACCCCCTCCCTTATTTTTCTCCACCACCTGCCTACTTGGCTCCTTCGCCTCTCCCCACAGCTTGGCCCAGCACTGTTTTCTCCCACTCCAGTCCTTACCCTGAGCTCCTGGCATCCTTTCACACCTTACAGCCTACCTCTTCATGGCAGACCAAAGGGTTTTTCTAAAATGCTAATTTGACACTGTCCTTCCCCTGCTCAACAACATTCCATGGCTCCCCATTGCTCAGGATTAGGCACACAAGTTACCACCAAGGCAGCAAGGCTGGAGATGTCTCCTGCCCCATTTCTCATTTCATTACTCACACTGCAACCAGCAGTCCCCAAACATCTGGCTCCCTAGACACCCTGGATGCCAGACCCATTGTCGCCTCCAGGCTCTGGCTCAGGAGAACTCTCCTGATGGTTCTTCCTCTCGAGCCCTGCCTCCTATTCCCAGGTCCTGGCCAGTGGCAAAGGCTCCTACCTTGGACCTCAGGGTATTTCAGCAGGAGCAGGAAGGTGTAGCGGATCGTGATGCTGACTGTCACTGTCCCAGCAAACAGCAGATTAATGACCGTCATCAGCAAGTTCTTGTCAGTGAATTCTGTGTTTGGGTCTTGCTTCTCCTGGGAGAAACCAGGCAGAGGGGCTTAGAGAACATGGGCTGCAGGGAGTCGAGGCCCAGCACAGCCAGGTTGGGGGTGCAGCATAGCAAGTTAAAGCTTTGTCAGGAGTTTAAACAAATGTTTGGGAAAGTTGGAAAGTGGGCTCTTGATATAAGTTCTCTCTGGTTGAAATGTTTTAAAAAGGCAAGAGAGTGGCTGCTACTAAAAACAAACACCGATAGAAAATGACAAGTGTTGGTGAGGATGTGGAGAAACTGGAACTCCTGTCACCAGGGGGACATATAAACGGTGCAGCTGTTACAGCAAATGCTACAGCGGCTCCTCAAAAGCTTAACATAGAATTGCCATATGACCTAGCAATTCCACTTCTGGGGATTTATCCAAAAGAACTAAAAGTGGTGGGGGAGGGTAGAGCTCAGTGGTAGAGCCCGTGCTTAGCATCCACGAGGTCATGTGTTCAATCCCCAGTACCTCCACTAAAATAAATAAGTTAAATAAAAACCTAATGACCCCCCCCAAAAAAAAGTAGGGTCTTGAAGGACATTTGTACATCCATGTTCAAAGTAGCATTATTCACAATAGCCAAAGAGTAGAAGCAACCCAAGTGTCCACTGATGGATGAATGGATAAAGAAAATGTGACATAGCCATACGATGGAATATGAGGCAGCCTTAAAAAGGAAGGAAGTCCTGTCACACGCTACAACATGAATGAACCTTGAGGACATTAAGTGAGATAAACCACAGTAGGACAAATACTGTGTGATTCCACTTACAGGAGGTTCCTAGAGTCATCAAATTCATAGAGACACAAAAAGAAGGGTGGTTGCTGGGGGCTGGCAGAAGGAAGGGTGGGAGTTTCTTTAACAGGTATAGAATTTCAATTTTGCAAGTTGAAAAGCATTCTGGAGATCAAAGGTGGTGATGCAAATGTCATGAACACTACTGAGCTGTACACTTAAAAGTGGCCAAGATGGGAAGTGTTATGTGTATTTTACTACAATTACATTCTTTCTTAAATTGAAAAATGAAAGAGGCGGGTGTAGCTCAGTGGTAGAGTGCATGCCTAGCATACATGAGGTCCTGGGTTCAATCCCCAGTACCTCCATAAAAAAATAAATAAATAGGAGGGGAGGGTAGAGCTCAGTGGTAGAGCGCATGTTCAACATGCACAAGGGCCTGGGTTCAATTCCCAGTATCTCCTCTAAAAATAAATAAATAAACCAAATACCTCCCACACTAAAATTTTTTTTAAAGAAATAAAGAAACCTAATTACCTCCCCCACAAAAAAGAAATACAAATTAAAAAAGTGAAAGGGAAAATAAATAGGGCCACAGAGTTAAGAAAATCTCTCTCTCCACCAAGAGGGTGGTTGCATTTTTCAAGGATGTGGCCCTGAATATCTCCCATCATTGCAAAGTCTGTACAATTCAAAACTAGGTATTTCCACAGGGGTCATCTTAATTCTAATTTTCTCACAAGATGATTGTTCTCACCTAATTAATTAAGTGGACTTTATTAGTATAATTTGAGATTGCAGGGTTTCATAAGCAAATGATTGTAATTCACAGGAAATGTCCTGTGTGGGTGGCGAGAGGTAGGGATGGGGAGAAGGGCTGGTGGGGATTGTTGGTGGCAGGTCCCTGGGCAGGGGGCCTAAGCTGGGCCTGAGATTGGAGGGAAGAGGAGGGGAAGAGATGCAAGAGACTCAAACACACCTGAGGTGAGTGTGGGGTGGGGGGAGGCGGAGAACAATGTACCAGAAAGAAGAGCTATGCACACCCAGGCAGAGACACAGATCCACAGGGACACGTGCAGAGAAGGATGGAGGCTGACAGTATGTCCCGGCTACACCTGGCTGGGGACCAGCCAGGCTGCCAGTGCCATTCAGGAGGCCCCCCAACCCACAAATGCCCCCACCTTTGCCATCTTCAGCAGGAAGGCATCCACAACATCACGTGCGGGGCTCGAGGCGTCCAGGCTTCCCTGGTGCCGCTGCACCTGCTGGACGGCAAAGGCAGCCAGGGTGCCCAAGTGGCCAAGGAGCTGTGTGTGGGGGCCTGGCAGGCGCGGCAGGAGCCAGGAGAACATCTCATATGTCTGTGGGGAGAAAGACAGCTGTTTTCATGGGGACCTGACTTGGCACCAGGGTGGAGGGGCAGGCGGACCGAGCGCTCTGGGGTTACCTGGAAGAGGTGGACACAAGCCTTTGGGGAAAGTGGCCGGAGAGGGGTCCCATCCACTTACCTGACCCCACGGGGAGCTGACCCCCACGGTGGTGCCACCAGCTGCCCGGACCATGGCCTGGAATTCCTCACTGTCGTAGGGGAAGCGGAGGCCGAAGACGAGGGAGCAGATGATGTTGGCGGTGGCCTGGGCCAGCAGCAAGGAGGGGTCAAATGGCTGTCCTGGGGAGGAGGGGCAAGGAGGAGGGCTGGATGGAGTTGGGCAGAGGGGAGCTGACCTGGAGGCGGATTGGATATGAAGTGGGAACCAGACACGACTGGAAAGAGACAAGCACAGAGAGTGAGACAGAGACAGATAGACAGGGAGAGACCCAGAGACACAGATAAGGAAGGGGGTGTGGGACAACAGATAGTCAGGAAAAGAGAGAGCCACAGGGAAAGAGAGACAGGGAGAGAGACGGACAGACTTGCAGGAGAGAAAAACAGAAAAACAGAAAGAAAAGAGGCAGAAGGAGTGATATGACAGTCCCAGGGACACAGAGACCTTCAGGGAGACAGCAGGACAGAGATGGAAGGTGGAGAAGGAGAGAGAGGGAGGTGACCAGAGTCCCCAGCCCAGCCCCAGAGGGAAGGCCATCCCTACACTCAGGCCACCGGCCCCGCTGACCTTTTGTCCCCTGGAACGTCTCCACCAGATGCTGGGCCTCCGCCTGGATCAGCTCCTCGCCCTCTCGCTTCCCCATGCCCAGCTCCCGCAGAGCCAGCGTGGTGAATTTCCTCAGCTGCCTCCATCGCTCTCCATTGGAGAACAAAACCCCTGCACAGAAGGCTAGGCTCAAGGAGGGACCGGCCCCTCCCCCAGGACAGTAGCAGCCCTTCCTCCCAGTGAGGTGCCCTGTCCTGAGTCCATACCAGCCTAGCCCAGGGATGAGGACTCCAGAGATGCTCAATAAATGCCTAACCTTGGGTCACAGGGTGACCTTCTCCTGAGAGGCTGGTAACTGAAATTATCCAGGCTCCTTGAGCCTTCTATGATTAAGCAGGGTGAGTGAAGATTTATTCCTTCCTTCCGTCTATCCATATATATATATATATATATATATATATATTTTTATGGAACGCTTCATGAATTTGCATGTCATCCTTCCACAAGGGTCATGATAATCTTCTCTGTATCATTCTAATTTTAGTATATGTGCTGCCGAAGTGAGCACTGTCTATCCATATTTTTATTCCTCTATTCATCCACCCATTCATTTATCCTTACTTCTTCCTCTTTCCTTTACTCCCTCCCTCCCTCCCTCTCTTCTCTCCAACCATCTATCCATTCATCCCTTCACCCCAGCATTTATGAAGTACTGTTGGGTCCCATGCCCCACGTCGTTAGGAGGTTGAACAGGGAGGGAGGAGGGTGGAATCGCACCGTTTCCCTCCTTTATCCAAGAGACTTGCTCTGGATGGACCCTTCCCTGCTCTGAGCTGTTCCTATTTGCAGAATGCCAGCCCATAGTGGCCTCCTAGACGCCTCCTCTTGGGTATCCACTGTCTACCCACCCCTCCATTGTGTCCCAAACTGGACCCAGCATCTCTCCTCCTAGTCTCAGCCACTGACCACCCCCCTGGCCAGAGCCCTGCATTCCTCTCCTGACCATCTCCCCTCCCCACTCCATGGCCCCAGTCCTGGTCCAGCCCAGTCCCCTGCCTGGGCTTCCACTCTGCAACCAGAAGATCTTTTTAACTCCGACCATATCCCTTCCCAGGAAAACCCAAAGTCCAAACATGCTGGCTTGACTCAGGTCCCATGTAATCAGGCTCTGCAGACCGCTCCAGCTTTGTTACTCATCTCTCTACAGTCGCACTGGCCTTCTCTCACTTCCTCAAGGATGCCAGGATGTCCCCTCTAGGCCTTTGCCCTTGCTGTTCCCTCTGCCAGGATAATTCATCTCTTCGTCCTCACTGAACTAACTCTACTCAACCTTCAGGTCTCAGCTCAAATGTCACCTCCTCTGGGAAGCCTTCCCTGATTCCTCCCATTCCTCTCACACCCCAACTCCCTCTGCTCCCTGGGCCAGGAAAGGGCCCCATTGTCCTGCTCTCAAGGCTGTCCCTCTCATTTTAGAATTCTATTCTTTCCCCTCATGTCTTATGGCAAAGCCCCACTCTCTCACAGTAAGACAGGTCACCACAGCTGTCTTGGTCACTACTGTGTCCCCAGTCCCAAGGCAGGCATAATGAAAAGTTGTCAGTTGATGAATGAATGCGTCTTCTCTCACCTCCATGCTTGTCCCTCTGCCTGGAACACCCTTCCCAGTCACGCTGTGAGTCTCAGCTCAGACACACCCTCAGGAAGACTTCCTGGATGTCCTCCACCGAAGAGGCTGGGCCGGGTGCCTCCTCCAATTCCCACAGCCTCAGGGCTTCCCCCAGGCCAGCCCTGACCTTTCTGGGCTTGTCACTGTCTGTCTCCCCACTGGTGACGGGTCTGTCTCCCCACTGGCCTGTGTGCTCTGGGGGAGCAGGACTGAGGTGGTTTAGTCACTGCTGTGTCCCCGCACTCCAGCCTCCTGCTTTCAGTCTTAACACAGAGAATAGTTTACACATTTTGAGTGTTTGCCTACTCATTCTCAGTGCTTCAGATGTCTTCCCTCTTCCTCCTGGCCCTGGGGGGGACTTTGCCTGGAGCAGTAATAAGACTATTACAACCATGTATTCTTACCTCGTGCAGTCCTTACTACAGTCCTATGTAACAGGCACTGTTATCACCCCATTTTACAGATGAGGAGGGGGAGGGTATAGCTAAAGTGGTAGAGCTCATTCTTAGCATGCAGGAGGTCCTGGGTTCAATCCCCTGTACCTCCTCTAAAAATAAATAAATAAACCTAATTACCTACCCTCCATAAAAACAAAACAAAACAAACACTAACTATAGATGAGGAAACAGAGGTCCGGAGACACTGAATCGTGCATGGAAGGTTGCAGAACAGTAAGAGCTGGCAGGCTCTGAGTGCAAGCCCCAGATGCCTCCAGGCTGCTTATGACTCACCATGGCCATCAAAGGTCCCATCCAGCGTCGCCACTATCCCTCGCCCGCTGAACTCCTGGGCCTGACCTCCCAAGGCCTCCTGCACAGCCTCGCTCCCAACCAGGACCACCACACGCCGCCAGGGTCCCAGGTACACAGTGAAAACTGGTCCGTACTTCTTACTCAGCTGGGGGCAGGGAGAGAGAGGGGGACAGGTGCTGTGGGGGGAGGCTACTGCCTCTTAAAGTCTGTGTGTCTCCATCGTGCCCCTTGTCGCTGGATGAGCCACCTAAGAGGAAACGTTCCTGCTCTGCCCTAAACCGAAATAGTGAAACAGCCCCGCTGGGGGCTTAGTTCTCTTTTTTTCTGTGCCAGGCTCCCAGGTCCCCTCCCCAGAGAGTCCTCCTTCCCCAAACTCTCACCCAACACGCTCTCTGGGTCCCATCCCCTTACCCCCTGTAGAGCCCCAATTTCTGACTCTGGGGCAACCCAGAACCTACCCCTATGCCCACAGCTCAGACATTCAGCAGTAAAAATGGGCAGCTACATCTTTGGTCTCCCCCAATCCCTCAGCTCCCTCCCCTCAAAACTAGCCACCCTTTTCAATCACCGCTAAACCCTCAAATTCTGGAGCAGTTAACCATGGAGCACTGGCACCATCTCTCCCCAAGATCACCACCCTCCTTGCCATGTCCTGGAAGACCCCAGACTCTTTTTGAATGGGGATCCTCTGGCCTCTTCCCAATCCCCCAGAGGGTTGGGACTGTCTCAGCCTTCTTGCTCTCCTTCCTTTCTTCTGTTGCAGAACTTCCAACTTCCTCCTACCCCCCTCTTTCCCATTCCCATCTGTCTCTGCAGATAGATTCCTAGAACCCTCCAGCCTCTGCCTCCCCCTCCTCTGGGGGTCCCACTCCCTTTTCTTCTCTGCCCACTCCTCTGGATAGCTCACTTGTATCTCCCCAGGACCTCTGCTCGGGACCAGCCACCATCATCACACTATCAGTTTCTCTTCTACTTGAGGACACCTATTTCTCTCAGTTTTTGTCCCCTCCCTGCTGCCTCCACTCCACCTTCCCAGGATTCTGGGGGCCTCTCTAACTTCAGGCTCCTGTCACTCTGGGTCCTGCTCTCCACTCCGGATCCCTCTCCAGGATTCTGTGGGCACGATTCTGCCCCTCCTGGCCCTGGCCCCGCACTCCAGGATCCTCTCTTCCCAGGATCCCCTGACCCTTTTCAGCCCTGGACCCTTGCTCCCTCCCCACCCCGGGGCATCCATAGCCCCATCCGGGACCCTTCACCTCCCTGCCTCTTCTAGGACATACACGACGGCCGCTTTGCGCTCGCACTACGGTTTCTCTCCCAGGGGTGTGTCCCTTCCCTCTCTGGTCCCTCGACCCCCGCATCTAGCCAGGGCGTGCGGGCGGCCCCTCACCCGCAAAAGCCCCAAGTACAGCGCTCCAGGCCGGAGCTGCAGGAGGTTCCCCAGCAGCGGCAGCGGCGTGGGCCCCGGGGGCAGGTGGCCTCGGCGCCGGG